ACACGAATGGATTGAAATATTTAATTAAATTATCTCAAAATAAACCTTCATTTCGGTGCAAGATGAAATTAGCCTGAATTCGTCATAACCTCTGAATAGTGGGTGACCCAACGGGTCACGGTGGTCTAGTTAATACTCAAACTGATTTTGATCAGGAATCTTAGGCCTATAGGATTCTAATGCTTCGGCATATCTGTATTTAAACCGTGCTCGTTTTAGTGCCTGGATCATTTTTCGCAGGCGCTTAAACCTAAAAAAATGTATTTAAATTTCATGTTTTTTTCCTGTTGTTGTTGAAAAGAAGATAGTATAATTACAAGAAAATTAATTATAAGGTAGTTGTACTAAATACAAATAGTTTATTAGCAAACCGATTTATTTTAAATAGTTTTAAGTTTCAGTTATATTGTAATATTTATCGGAAAGGCACAGCCATTTCAAGTTAAATATTTTGTATTTGTATGATCTGCGACAAACCGTGCAAATAAATGTAGATTTCATATTTTTAAAGTTACTCTAAAACATCAATATAAATGTATGTATCTATCATTTAAAAAGCCTTTGATAATTACTGTTTAAAATAATATGTAATTATCGATAAAATTTGCACTTAAATAGTACTTTGGAGTTTTCTTTTGCAACTATAGTATTTATTTAAGAAAATGTTTACTATATATTTTAGTGCTTACTAGAGGGATTTAGACATTTTGACAATAAAGTGAGAAAGCACGAACTTCAGTCTGCAGATAATAATAAAAAAAACTTTATATTGTTACGACAGCGGAAGTCACGTGACGCTAGTAACACGTCATGAGATTCTAGAAAGATCATGTCCGTTCGTGAAGGCTCCAGTGTTCTCCAGACGCTCCCTATTTTGTATATATAAGACCGGCGAGAAGTGACGGCATAGAGAGGAATAATTGCAGATTGAAGAGATAGAGACGGACAATTGAGTCAAACGCGGTAATAAAGAGGCGTGAATCGTTCGTTGTGAATTATAGCGTATGTTGAAGTTAAAGTGACTGTGGAAATTAAGTGTATTGCAAAGTTGAATTGAGAAATAATAAACTAGTTTTATTTAAGAAAAGACTTGTATCGCTGAAGTTTCTCGGGAAGAACTTTTACGGGAAATTATCAAACGAACAGAGACGTAACAATATTTTAGCCAACGTTTCACCATTTCGGCTTCATCAAGGCTAGTAGCAGAAGAACCTGTCAAAAAAAGCCGTTACAACAATAAAAACATGTATAAAAATATTAATAGTAAACCAAAACAATATGGTACCTTTTAGTTAATTGTTACCACAAACATTA